TAGCTTTATTGTTAATAACTTCCATTTGGTAACTTTCACCATCCATAACTACCCTAGGGCAACTGCATTTCCATACTTGGAAGACTAAACCACCAACAAGGAACCAACGACTTGGCAATCCCCACCCTCTCACCTTCTTTTTCCAAAGCCTGCTTTCACCTCGTTTCAGTAAAGCAGACTTGCTCTAGTGAATCCCACTTCTGATACCAAGACCACTTCTGGAAACTCCCAAGACCATTCTCAGGTTTAACAGTTCACAAAGAATTCAAAGAGTTCAGCAAAGTAGTCAATACTCATAATTATTGTTGATTACAGAGAAAGTACAGATTGAAACAGCAATAGAAAAAAGTGCTAGGACAGATGACAAGCTTCCAGTTGTCATCTGTCCTTAGACCTTCCAGCATGATGTGTGACCACATGTGCAGAAAATCACCAACAAGGGAAGGCCATGGGAAACTTAGCATCCAGCATGGCTCATCACATAGGTATTATAGTTGACTGCCCATGCAGCTGACTTTAGTCTGGTCCCTCTAGAGATGGTGATGCTATATGGTCCAAGGTTCCAACATAAATAACATTACTGGCATCTACTATCTAATATGGACCATGACCTCATGTAAGCAGAAACCTTTTTACTAAGTAGGCTACTCCAAGGACTGAGAGGAAACCTGCCAAAGCTCAGACCATCATTAGGAATGAGTATGATTTAGTCTATCAGCCTTGCTGAAGGAATCTTTTGAACTGTATGACACCTACTGCCATATGGAATTGTCCCCCTCCCCCACCAGTGCTCCCTCCCACTGCCCTGTTGGGCTTGCTACCATAGGTCAAAGCTGTTTACTCTCTTCTCAAGTCAGATGCTGTCACCTATTAGTGCTGTCTTATTCAGAAGGTTACGATTCTGTGTTTCCCTTGCCCCGTTGTTTTGTAAGGGAGGCCACAGCTGGTGAATATCTGACACAGATGCACGATGGGACCTGTTCTATGGTACAATTCAACTTCTAAAGCTATCTGAAGTCAGGCTGAGACTAGACTTCAGGCAAGAGCATATCCTACCTTAACAATTTTTTTTTCCTACCCTGTCCTCTCCCTCAACTTCCTAGACATTTTCTTCTGGGAGAACTCTCAGTAAATCATGTATGACCCAATGTCAGTCACAATGCATAGTACGTAGTTAGTTCTTAACACGTAAGTGCTGAATGAAAAATAAACCCTGAGGAGATTATTGCAAATAGAACTCCCTTATAAATTTACTCAGAGCACGCAGCACATAGAAAACCCTTAAGGAGCATTCATCATAGCCTATTACCCAATCCTTTTGCAATGTGTTGTTGCTTCATGTTAGTATAATCAACAGGATATGACCCTCAAATCTGTATGCCCAGCAATGCAATCTTGTAGGTACAGATTGAGAAGTGGTCAGTTTATGAGACTGGCAACTTCAAACCTGAACGATGATGTGCTCATTTTCAAAGACAAGTGGAACTTATACAAGAAAAAAACAGAGAGAGAGAGAGAGAGAGAGAGACAAGATCCTCTGTATACCTTATAGGCAGATCTCTACCAAAAGTCCAGCTGCTGAATATGCAAAAAGAACCAGAGCAAGGGGATGGAGAGGGGGAGGATCCCAGAGGCCCTGATTCATCACTACCAAAGATGGTCAAGGCCACTAGGCCTGAATCTTTAAGACAGGAACTGCTGGAGGCAGGCTAATGGCCCCTTCTACCTCCCCTTCTCTTTGCTAGGAGGTCACTGTCTTCCCTGCCCCCCACCCCAGCAGTATTCCCTCAAAGTGATAAAACTAGAACAAAATTAAGTTTTCTTGGTTATGACTCATTTCCACCCTGGTTTCTCAAGTCACTAAATAAGTATTGGCATCTCTGTAGCCACCACCCATTGACAGATTATCAGTGGATATATATTTATTTTTATTTGGGGAAGTCTTTTATAGTTCTTTCCTTCTTTTCCTTTCTTTTCTATTTACTTTTTGTCTTTTATAGCTCTTTGGGGTTTGGGGTTTTGGTTTTTGGTTGGTTTTGGTTTTTTGGTCATGGGGCCTGAACTCTGGGCCTGGGCGCTGTCCCTCAGCTCTTCAGCTCAAGGCTAGCACTCTACCACTTGAGAAGCAGCACCACTTCTAGCTTTTTCTGCTTATGTGGTACTGAGGAATTGAACCCAGGGCCTTATGCATTCAAGGCAAACGCTCTACCACTGAGCCACCTTCCCATCCTTATATATATATATATATATATATATATATATTTTTTTTTTTTTTTTTTTTGGGTCCGGTCGTGGGGCCTGAACTCTGGGCCTGGGCGCTGTCCCTCAGCAATTCAGCTCAAGGCTAGCACTCTACCACTTGAGCCACAGCGCCACTTCTAGCTTTTTTCTTTTTGCTTATGTGGTGCTGAGGCATCGAACCCAGGGCCTCAGGCAGGCAAGGCAAGCACTCTACCACTGAGCCACCTTCCCAGCCCCTTATATTTATTTTTTTTAGGTGCACAATCTCTTCCTTACCTGTTCATTTTTTCTTAATTTCATTCTCAGAGGGAAACTGCTAGTTCTCTTGTTAAATAGTTGTACAGAGAGGTTCCAATTCCAGTCAGGTTATGAGTGCAATGCATCTGGGTCCATGCCACCCCTTCCATTGTTCTCCCCAGTTTTCTCCTCTACACCCCTAACTTCAAGTTTCATAGTTCAAGGTAGCTGCTACTTACCCCTTCTCATTTTCTTTTAAATGAGTGTGTGGGGTCTTACTATGTAACCCAACTTAACCTCAAATTTACAATCCTCCTGCCTCAGCATCCTGAGTTTTGGGATAATATGTTTATGCCATTATGCCTGGCTTGCTAGCCCATTTCTGAAACCCCAGCATCTATGCCACCTTCCACAAATTGTAGTGGTTAGAAATAGCTTCCTCCCAACCCACCCTCATTTAGCAGGTCACATGGGAGCCCAATTCCAGACAGCTTCCATTGGCAGAGCTTTTCTCTGTATTCCATGAGAATAGTCATGAAAAGAAAAGCCCTTCACCCCCAAGGGCCTTCTAAATATCACCTTACTCAGGGAACAGAGCTGAACAGGGAACAGATTGAATGTTCCCAGACAGATGGCTCTGGAAACTTGAAGAAAACAATAACCCATCCTTTTTTTTTTTTTTTTTTTTTGGACAGCTCCCCCAAGGAGTGATGGCATTCCTGACAACCCGGAGTCCCATGGGAAAGCCCAGGGGCAGAGAATTCACAAAGGCACGAGGATGAGAATTAGTTCTCAGAAATCACCAACTTCCTGGCTAAAACCCACTTGCTTCTCAAAAATCACTGACTTAATGCAGTTCTTACAGAGACCCACCTGCTTATGAGGCTGGATAGCTGCAGCCCCTCCCTAGCCTGGGCCCCACCTGGAGCTAGGTCACAATGCCCCCCGCTGCTCAGTCCTAGAATGGCTGACCCAGGTGAAAGGAGGTGAGGAGGGGGGTGGGATGGATAGGGGAAGGGGGGAAATTCCCAAGGATCCCGGATCCCCACTCCAAGCTCACCTTTGAGTGTAACCCAGGGATCCTTTCCCCTCCCCCTTTTCCTCCCTTCCAATACTAGCTGTTCTGACCACTTCTGTTTTCCTCTATGACCCTGTTCTGCTTACCCAGGCCCAAACTCCTTGCAGATCCAATCCCATCCCCTTCCAGGGGTCTGGGTGCTGGGGAGGGGTCAAGTTGGCCAGTGTGCTCATGTGTGTCCTACTGGGATCCTAGCTGGGCCCAGCTCCTGGACAGTGTCCTCGGCCTGGGGGCACTAGGGCTGACAGTTGGAGCCATCTTTTCCATGACTGGTCCAGCCCTGTTGCTGCTGCTGCTCCTGATCAGCTTCCTCACCTTTGACCTTCTCCACAGGTAAGTGAGCAAACAACTAACAATTGGGCATTGTAAGCAGGGAGTGCAAGTGGCTAACTTTCCTGAGCCCAACTGATACCCTCTCTCCCCACAGGCCTACCACAAGTCCCACTCTGCCACGACACAGACTTCTCCCAAGGGGCCAAAGTCAGGGAGCTGGTGAGGGTCCAGAACAGGAGGTGGCTCCCTTCTTCCCAACAGAAGCAGTCCCAAGACAACTCAGCCTCCAAGATGCACTGCTTCTTCTGCTCCTGAGCCTGGGGCTGCTCCTGGGACTCCGGGGTATGCCCTTGGCTCTACTAGGCCTGGCTTTCTGCCTCCACCCTTGGGTTTGAGAGCCCACTCCAAACACTGAGTGCTCTTCAAAAAAAAAAAAAAACAAACAAAAAATAAATTTAAAAAAAACCACTGGTCTTCTTACTTTGTTAGGCCTCCTCAGCCATCCTGAGCTAGACAGAGGGTTTGGGACACGCCTTTTTATTCTCAGCCTGAACTTCAGGAGTCCTCTGGCCTCATAATGTAGAGTGGAGAGTCAGGACTAAGGCTTGAGGCAGCAACAGAAGGCAGGGGATGAGGAGGGAGATCAAGATGGGATGTGCCAGCTAACTCAGGGCCTATAGTTTGAGGGTAACCATTCTGGTCTCCTCTGTGGTTCTGGAGAATGAGAGTCCATAGAAAAAGACTTGGAACTGACATCAGCCATCAGGGAAGGGACAAAGATGGAGGCTTCCAGACACAAGCAGGAGAAACTGCATCTACAGAGCTCACCAAGCTCCTCTGCCAGCCTGGAAGGCCCATGGAGAGGAACTCAGGTGAGCCTCACACCATACAAGGGGTTCCTCTCTTGACTGGACCCCACCCCCGTCCGGGTCATAATGGGACTCCCCCAGGGATGGTGGGGAGTGGGTGAGAGTGAAAGGCTTGGATCTGGCTGCCAGGCTATCCTGGGTGCAGCAGGAAACAATATGACTTAGATGGCTCTTCCCCGAGGTAAGTCTCAGGTCCCTGCTCAAGGCCCCACCCTGCCCCACCCTCCTGAGCCCCTATTCCAACACCTGCCCTGACTTCCCCAGCATCTCCAGCCGCTCCTGCAGCTGGCCTGGACCTGTCCCTAGGTGCACCACCAGCCATGATGCAGCAGTCTCGACTGGAGACGGATACCATCGGAGCCGGCGAGGGGCCACAGCCAGCAGCGTCCTGGTCAACCTGGGTCACCAGGCAGGGCTGGATGCGCTGGTGGGCATACCACATACCTCCCAGCTGGGTCCAGTGGTGGACAACATCAGGCTGGCGGCAACCACTGCAGCGCATGCTATGGGGTGTGGAGGGGACACTCTACCTGCTGCTGGCACTGATGCTATGCCATGCGCTGTTCACTACCGGCTCCCACCTGCTGAGCTCCCTGTGGCCTGTGGTGGCCGCAGTGTGGCGTCACCTGCTGCCAGCTGTGCTGCTGCTGATACTCAGTGCTCTGCCTGCCCTGCTCTTCACAGCCTCTTTCCTGCTGCTCTTCTCCACACTGCTGAGCCTCGTGGGCCTCCTCACCTCCATGACTCACCCAGGCTATGCTCAGGACCTGGTCTAATAGAAGGGCCACCCCCTCCGGCTGCCTGTGTCTGTTGAGCCCTTGACCTAGGGCATGAACATCAGGGAAGAGGGAGGGCAGTGGCGTCTCAGCAGGCCCCACATCCCTCATCCAGAGCAGAAGCCTGGCCTCTTGGCACCTACCTCAAACCAATGCTGCAGGTACCTAAAAGGAAGAGAGGTCAGAGGCTTTGAGAAGAGGGGACAGGACAGATGGCTTAGCTGGGGACAGAGCTCGTCCATACCACCGAGAGCACCTATGTGGATGTGCTAACACCGCTGGGGGCTCCCATGGAAACACAGCTTCTCAGTCCTCTCAGCTTCAGACTTGTTGAGAGCTTCTTCCTCAGTGCCCCTTGTTGCCTTCCTTTCAGCCAATCCTCTCTTCTACTTCCAGGAGGACCGTAGGCTCAAGAAAGGGCCCCCACTGACAGAAAGCTAGCTGCTGGGTGAGGGATGGCCAGAAGGCCCAGCCATCTCCCCTATCCATCTGCCCAGGGCACTCCTCCTTAACCTGCCTCTGCCCACACCCCAGATGTGGGAAGTGGGTCAACCAGAGAAGTGAGTTTCACTTTTTTGTTGTTTTTGTTGTTGTTGTTGCTGGCGGCTGTTGTTGTTTGGTGCTAAAGATTGAACCCAAGGCCTGGCATATGCTAAGTACATGCCTCCACCTCTAAGCTATACTCCCAGTTTCTTCTGTTATGGAAAAACGAGTCTCATTTCAGCCATCCACGTAATGGATGGCCTTGGCCAGTTTATTCTTTTGAGCCTCATTGTTAAATGGATCCCATTGCTGTTCCAGGGCATACTAAAATTGTAAAGTTTTTTTTTTAAAAAAAACCAACCTGTAAAGATGTTTTGAGCTCTAAAAACATGCTGTAGACTCCAAAGGTCTTTTGGCTCATAAGCCAGATGAGAGAGCAAAGGGCTTCACGAGGCTTTCTGAGAAATGTTCTGTCATGGGTAGAATTTAAGGCCTTTAATGAGAAACAGAGCATGGATGGATGGATGGTGTGGACAAGATGTAAAACATCATGTGCCATGAAATCTCAAAAGGAGCAGATGTGGAACTCTTCTGATTGTCAAATGCTTGGGGCTGGGGCACGGTGCCAGGACATACTGGCACAGCTGTATGAGAAGGGAAGAGCATAATAACTCAGGGATGTCCAGAATCGATCCAGCAGAGCTGCTCGTAACTAAGAAAGGTATTTCTTGACAAAGTATCATCCCCTGATGCCCCAGATTCTGGCGATTCACACACTGCTGACCCCTCCCCTCAACAACAACAACAAAAAACAGTGATCACTTATAAGCTTAGCTATAAGATAGACATGATAGACAATTCACTCCCAGCTAGGATCAACTCACTGGGCCCATCTACTCCCACCTATGTGTAGCTAGCCCTAAAATTCTGACTCCTCAAGCTCTAGACCCAAGATCCTTCTCTCCTGCCACCTAAGTATTTGGACCCAGCAGACTAGCCCCTGAAATGGTGGTTAATTTTGTCACCGATTAGATATCTTTTCAGCACTTTAGGCTTGACACACAAGGACTGACTGGTCCTTCCTTCCTGTTAGTATGACCTGGTATTGAGGATTAGAAAGGATAGGGAAATGCCATAGCTTAGTGTACATTCCAGGCTTTTTTTTTTTTTTTTTTTTTTGCCAGTCCTAGGGCTGGAACTCAAGAGTCTGGGTGCTGTCCCTGAGCTTCACTTGCTCAAGACTAGCACTCTACCACTTGAACCACAGTACCACTTCTGGCTTTTTCTGTGTATGTGGTACTGAGGAATTGAGCCCAGGGCTTCATGCATGCTAGTTAAGCACTCTACCACTGAGCCACCTTCCCAGCCCAGGACTGGTTTCAAATCCTAGCACTGTTGTTTCTAGCTCCATGGCCTTGGTGGAAATTGCTAAACCTTCCTGAACTTCATTGTCTTCTGGGGAAAGACAAAGGCAAGGACATCTGTCTCAGAATTTCTATGGGATTCTTGGTTTAAAATGTCTCATCTGGCTCTTATTGCCACAACATCTAGCAATGCTGTAACAATCTCCTTTTGGAGATGAGAAGTCAGCTGGAGGGTAACTACCTGTCAGTGGCCAGGCCATGGAGTGCCACTCCGCACTAGTGGGTGGTAAGGCTATGGGAGAAGATCCTGTGAGGTTTCCCATCCTCAAAGGCTCCTATCAGAAATGAAGCTCAGGCTTAGAGATGTCAGGAGTCAAGCCAATCAAGATGTCCACTACTCACTAGAGTACTCTGAGGTGGGAATGGAGATCAGGATTGTGGCCTGGATCCTTCGTTTATTTGGCTCTGTATTCCTGGCCAGGGATATCATTCTGGAGTCTGAGGGCCATTCTAATAAAAAGAAAAGAGATTGGAAGTGGTAGAGCACTAGCCTTGAGCTGAAGAGCTGAGGGACAGTGTTCAGGCCCAGAGTTCAAGCCCCACGACCGACAAAAAAAAAGAAAAGAAAAGAAAAGAGATCATAATTCAAGAAAAATGGGATAGGATGTGGGTAGATGCAAGGACTTTATCCATATAAACATCCATTTTCTACATGCCTGTCCTGTGGTGTAGCTATACCACAGGATATAGTTAGACTGGAAAGCAGAGAGGGAAAATGTTACCAGATCATGCCTACTCAATCCTTCTGACCCAGCAACTCAAAACTCTCCCAGAGATCCATAAGGACCTTGGTCCTCAAAATATACCCAGCAATATATGCCCTCCATCAGAGATGGTTAATGATGCAGTCATTGGCCTAGTCTTAGACCTGCCAAACTACAGCCTTCATTTTAACAAGATTCCCAGGTTGCACACATTCATACTAAAGTTTGAGACATGCTGCATAAGGAGAGATGTTTGAAGATATTATCGATGGGGGTAGGGAAATGGAAAGGGTAAAACACAGAGACACGGGTATCATGGAGAGAAGGCAGAAGTTAGAAGAGGCAGAAGCTACATGGATCAGTCTTAAAATCTTAGCACTTACTGACAAGCCATGAGAAGAAAATACAATTCATTTTGCATAAGTTTAAAATGCATGCCAGCAAAACAAGTTTTGTGGTGGTTGTTGTTGTTGTTTTTTCCAAGAGCACCTGAAAACAACAGATACACAGAATGGTGTGGACAACTAGAGGGAAGCAAATGGAAGTGAGAGAGCAAAAGAGAATAAAGCAAAAGACCTTTGCCAAGAAGAAAATGATCATATAATTCCTGACATTCCTTTTAATATGGACCAAGTCATCCATTCAGAGTGCAAAGGCTTTTAAAAAAAAAAAAAAAGCCTGCGAGAAATGGACACGTTAGAATGAAGGAGTTCTAAGCTTTTCTGGTTTGGGCCAAGAAAGGAAGAACTGTCTCATTGGTTTGCATAACTGGGACCATCAGATAGGATATCTTTGCCTATGCTCCCCCACCTCATCCCCACAACTTTAGCTGATGGGGTTGGTGTGAGAAGCAGGGGATCCAGCGACTGTTTCCTGTTTGGCCTCTCCAGAAAATCAGGTCAACTACAGGATGTAGCTCAGTGGTACAGCGCTTGTCTAGCATGAGCTAGCTATGAGCAAGGACCTGGGTTCCGTCCACAACAAATCAAATTAGGCAGAGCATAAGGAAGCTGAGCGGCGGGTCAGCTACTCGTGGCCTTTTGTTTGAACAGAGCAGATCCACAGTTGCAGAAACAAATCTTAGTGGAATATCTAAAAGATGGGAAGGGGGGAGATGATACCCAGTAGGACTTCCCTGTGCCCCCTCCCTTTTTCCCTCCCCCCAAAAAACCTGGGAGCAAGGAGCTGAACATGCATGCTGCCCAGAGGGTACTTCTTGAGATGCAGCGTTAATGGCCACCCCAAAGGAAAGAAAAGGGGTCGTCCTTGGCAGGAGGGAGGGCTTCCAAAGGCCACTTTCAGGGCAGCCCCGGGGACTCGTGGGTTCTGAAAAGGACTGGGCAAGTGAACCTTAGGACCAAGACATCTGAGGCCACACGGGAGGAGAGCGGAGCCAGGGTCATCTCAGGGTCGTCTGGGACTGGCAGGCGCCCCAAGAGTAGGGGCGAGTCTCCAACAAGCAGGCACGGACGTGCTGGGGAGGAGAGGGGCCGCGTCCCGCACGAGGGGCGCAGGGAGGCCAGACCGTGGCTGCGTCGGGACCCAGGGCAGAAGGGTGACATCCACCCCCAGGCGGGCATCGAGGCTGGAGTGGGGAGCGTGGGACAAAGGCCTGAGGCTGTGGAGGAAATCTGAAGCCCACCCTGCAGTGGGAGGGCCGCGGGCATTCACACAAGAAACGTCCTGGAGCACTGGACCTTCTGGGAAATGGCAGCCTGTACAGCCGCTGCGTGAGCGAGGCGCGCCCCCTGGTGGACATCCCCGGCTCTGACAGCGTAAGATCGGATTCGGCACCAGTTGGGAAAGGAAGGAGCATGGCCCAGCACTCATGGAGATAACGGGGTAAGGCCTGGGGCCGGGGGGAGACATCGCAGGGCCACGGTAGTAGCTTCGTCCCTGTCCCACATCTCTGGCTGAGCCCTCCAGCCAGTCCTGAGGCATGGAGGGCAGAGCTTAAAAGAATTCTGGGGAAAGCAGGGTGTTGGTGATCACGCCTGTAATCCTAGCTACTCAGGAGGCTGAGATCTGAGGATGGCAGTTCAAAAAATCATCCTGGGCAGGAAAGTCCCTCAGACTCTTATCTCCATAACCACCAGAAAACCGGAAGTGATACTGTGGCTCAAAGTGGTAGAGCGCTAGCCTTGAGCAAAAAGAGCTCAGAGACAGCACCCGGACCCCAAGTTCAAGCTCTGGGAAGGAAAAGATCAGCTATAGCGGACTTGACTGACTGACTCCTGGCCCAGGTCCAGTTTGATATTACTCCACCTGGGGTAAAAGACTGGCTTTTTTGTGAGGTTCTGTTAAGATCTGGCCAACACCAACTCTGGAGAAGCTGAGCCCAAACATATGCAAACATATCCATTTATACTTAAAACAAACACTTGCTTCC